CTCGTCAGATTTTTGTTATCTAATTAACTACTTGTACTTTCATTTTTTTCTGATGAAATGAACATATTAAATAAGAACATAAAACAAAACCAGTCAAAAAACCGCCAAAACGAACCAAAAATGAACAAGCAATGCGCACGCGCGGGAATCGAGACGCGAGCGACGATAACACTTCGCTGGTTCCCGGCGTCCTTTGCGAATGGTAGGTAGATCGCAGGTAACTAGTAATCGCCATATTGTTCCATTTGGGCCGGTTTTCCGGCCGGAAGTCACGTGACTGAGTGACGTAATTAGAAAACTTTCCAAGTTCCGTTCTGCGTAAACATGTCTATAAACTACAATAAAGCCATGCTCAAACATACTGCCTGCTTAGATTTACACATTTGAGATGTTTCTGACATTCCTCGCTGTTTCTGTGAAAATGTATAACAAAAGAAACAGTTTTTTATTCACCCAACTTTCGAAAGTAAAAGGAAACCCCTGAACGGCCACGAGCGTAAACGCTGCCGTCAGGTAACCAAGGGAAATAGAACAAGCAACGAGAAAGTGACGGACCAATCAGAATGCCGGATTCATTACTAGTTACCGGCCTCTTGTGGCTTGGTACGCCATGACACTTGAGGCGGGAACCAGCCAACGATAACACGCGCTAAAAACGCAAAGGCTCATGGGTAGACGCTTTGTTTGTAAACAATGACACGCTATGGCCATCTGACACGTGCGCAGGTGACGACTCCCCCGCTTTAAACAGAAAGAAAAACTCGCGCAACCACTTTCAGGGTGAAAACTTGGCTATTAGCACCTGCTCAAGCGAGGCATCAGACATCAAAGCAAATAAGTTGGCCACTCCCGCACTTCGCGTGCCCTCACCTGGTTATGTTTCAAACTGGTCGTTGAAGAAGCAGTAATTATATGCTTCCACGACCGTATCGGCAATCCCCCGTGAAATGGTGATGTTGGAGCCAGGGTGGCTTTGCTTGCCCTGTCCATAACAGACAAACAAGCGCTTCTCACTGCCGCAAGACACCTTGGTGTGATCGAAGTACCAGCTCAAAGCTTGTACAAGACATAGAATATGTTCCTTTCGGTCTTCCGTGCCTACTAAGTTAGTTAGGCGTGGAATGACGATCGTTTCAGGGTCATGCCCTGGGATTGATTCTTGGCAAGAAAGCCCATCCGAGTCTTCAAAATAACTTTCATGGAGGAGGCACATTCGTCACCGAAGGACAGTGCCCCTATCTGAACGCCGCCGACCTGACACCAGAGACAATAGAAAATGACATACTGCATGTCCGCTGATCCATAGGCTCGAAGGGGGTGTCATAATGCTGCTAGAACCAACGACAAGTCCCAGCCTGGAGGATTCGTTAGCCCCTTGGTGTGCGGTCTCTTCAAGCGGAAAGTTGATGCATGATTGTACTCAAGGCCAGTTTCAGTACGACTGATATCTAAGAATCGTTGATATAGATTTTCCTTGATCAAAAAATACAAGAAAAAATTGGCTACCTCGCTAATAGTGGGACAGAGATGATCAATCTTCTTCCGTTACACCAATCGATGTAGAGTCTCCAACTGGGCTCATACAAACGTCTAGTGCCGTCCGACTGTGCTGAAAGTGAGGAACTTGGATAACTATGCCGAAAAGCCTTGTGCTTGCATGAGTTTGTCGACAGCCTTCACGCATGAAGATGGAACAATGTGGGGCTGATCAGGAGAGTGTCATCCGGCTGGGACAACAGATCAGGAAGATCCGGCAACTCCCCTGGGGATTCGACTAGAAGGTCCAGCAACATAGGACCTTCTTGGCCAATTGGGCACCACCAGTGTCAGAAGGCAGGTGGGCTCGTCTCGCAGTTTTTCCAACACTTGGTGCACTAGTGGGAAGAGTAGAAAGGCACAAGTGTCCATGGGACTCCCGGAGATCAATTGAAAAAAAAACTAGGTTGCGGAACAGTATGGGATTGGACGAGAGAATATTATTAAGTATTATTTAGTAAGTATTATACCTACATGATTCACATTTGGCTTTGACAGGTTGGGAGTATGAAAAAATACGTCTATATGACAACTGATGGAAAAAAATAGCAGTCTCGGTTGTTTCAAAGCACGACTGATGTGCAAGCGAGACGTCTGCTAAGTCCAGTGGGAGCCCAGGAACTATAATCAACCAATTAAAACTTGCCAACAAGTGAAACTGGACCAGATTTGGACGAACCGCCGCCAACACGCCTGAGCATTGGTGCACATGCGGAATACTCACACGAAATGCATAACCCTGGCTTTTTTTTTCTTTGAAAAACGAATTCTGCTACATCGTAATAGTATTTTTTTTCTCGAAAAATAAACTTCGCTACATCATAAATATAAAATAAATTTTATTTTTCTCGAAAAACGAACTCTGCTACATCGTAACAAGATAAAATTAAATTTTTCTTGAAAAAAATATCTCTGCTACATCGTAATAAAGATGACGTTCTGGGGCAGAACATTCTAGTGTTCAAATGGTTAATAATTAGCAATTATTGCTGTAAATTGCTGTATGGTAAATATTAGTTAACAAAGTAAACTACCGATAACCATTTATGAATAATAATCAAGTCTTTCTGTCAAGCGATTGCTGTCTCGATTTTACTGCAACTTACCCCATTATTTAGGACACCTAATTATATGATCGGTTGGTTTAATGTTACCCCAACGAATCTTTTGGATGGGAAAATATATTTTCTCCCTGATTTGCAGGCAACTGTTTCTCAACTTGTCTATTTAGTTTCAATTAGTGTTCAAGATGGCCCCCATATAGTAAATATCGGTGGTTTAATCACATTTATCATATTATCACTTGTACGCCAGCTGACAGTGGCCATTCTCAGGCTGACCAGGAAAACTACTTTCACATTATCACACTTCGCAAAGCAAATCAGTCAGGGGAATCCAGACATGTACCAGGCTACGAGAAAGCATTCTATGTTCCCAATGCAATATAGACGCGACCACGACTCGGCGCCAGCAAGATTTGAAAGCCAACTGTTTAGTCAAAATCCAAGCAGTTAGCCAATTTGCTAGTGAATTTGCAAATTGGCTGCTCCAATACTTCTGAGACTTGCTGTAAAGTGGCTAGCAACAACTACTTGTTATGGGTAATCTTTTATTAGAGGTAACAAAAATTATCACCAGCGATATTTGTCTCAATAATGAAATCATCACACCAGCAGATGCATCAGACTAGGTGTGAAAGCACAACAGTGGCTACATCAGTGTTCAATATGGGACCCATAGCAACATGCACAATATGTGTAAAATGAATTCAAATACTTGTATGATGGCTGTTGAGCTTTAAGTATGTGCAAGGTGTGTCCGAGTGTTACGTACCTGTAATTTTATGAGACTTGAAGAGATTGATTTCATAGTGTTTGTATTAAATTAATATGGCTTGTGGACAAAAGGTTGAACGCTCGCTAGATGAGGGCGTGGTGATTTGCAATTTTTGTGTTTTACCGACTGAGTATGGAAATATTTAAGTTAAAATATATTGTAATTTGGTTGAGCATATATATTGTGCAGGTTTTGAATAGCTGCCAAGTTACGAGTTGGGAACTGCGTTGCGTATGACATAAATTACCTCCAAGCTAGGGAGTAGATATCGTCGTGCAAGGGTCTGAACCATGATCGACCTGAGGGGTCCGATTTGACTACGTAAAACAGAGAATTGCAGAGCTTGAAAGGAGTTGCAGAGCACGAGACGAGCTGGAGTGTTATGAAAGGAGTCCTCGCACGTGGTTGCTGACCTTGCTGTACGCCGGATCTGTTTTGTTGTTGAGATAACGTGGTTGTGCTCTTCTTTGTGGAGTCGTATGACTGGCTGACGAGTGAATTGAAGAATTCGGAAGATACTTATTTGCTAATCAAAACGTCGTTTCTCGTCGAACTGAGTACAATACACCTCGTCAAGACCGCAGACTCTCGCCGAATTGTTAACCCAACGAACTGGCACTGATTTAGAGACATGCTCATAGTTGAATATATTTTTGTAGTGATTATTATTGAAAACGTCCACCTGTCATTAACTACTAGGTATTATTTGTAATATAAATATTTATTAACCCTGGCACATGCTCACTGTTATTACTGTCACTACTGATTGGACTAGTACAATAAATCTAATTTTGTAGCATTTTATTGTGTCATTCTTCCATTACCGG